ATCAGTATCATTCAACTTGATAATGACGATTTCATTTTCTTCATGTTTAGATCGAGATATAAAATGAAAAAAAAATTGTTGGTCCCCAGTCTGTAAGATCTTACCAGGTAGTTCCCCAAGTGGTAACCGAATCTAAAAGATCACTAATTAGTCATTATTGTCACTGAACGAATTCATTTTTAATGCTGATTTCTACGCCAGAGAAGTACTTTAAATGTCTTGTGCTTAAATTGCTATAACTGTAAAATGTTGTCTTGAAGTATGTATTTTTGTGTGTGTGCTAAAAATGATTATATTCTAAATGATGAATAAAAATAGTTCCATTTATTTTGATCAATAATGTATTAGATTATAATAAGTATCTTGTCATACCTTATCATATCTTATCTTATCTTATCTTATAAATGCATACTCAAAGGATCACTTGAATATTAGACAATCGAATTCTCAACTAGTGAATTCCAAAAGAAGCTATAACTTTCTTTTCATTATTACTATTGTCAATGACGATGTCATCCTTGGCAACCTTATCTATTTATAACTGTTTGAAATCTAAACTGATCGGCTTGAATGGTGCAAGGCTTATATAATATGTCAGAGTTTTAAAAAGAATGACTAGCTTGATAATGTAAAGAACAAAATCCAGCGTTTTTACGACACAAAAATACAGACACAAAGACAGCAACAAAACAAACCACGCACTGCATTTGTCTTCTACGCACTTGTTTAATCTAACAATGTTTTAACAATGTTTTCCTTCAAGATGACCGAGCGCTTACACTTGTTCATTAAAGACGGCCCATTGTTGTTCATTTGAAGTTTAATCCATTAGATTTATAATAAAAGGGAGTTAATGTCGAAGTTTTTGTTTCACATTTTTCTTTAAGTTTTTATTCCCCTTGACATTAGTCACTTTGGTACTTTAAAAAAAATATATTGAATGAACATTTTTAAAAATATAATTTTGGCGTGGAATGGACGCAAGACTTTGATATTTATTTATTTTGTTTAATTGATCACAACTCTTTCCACTGATACCTATATTTTAGATAAGGTTCTTGGCCCAAGGATATTTTGAAAATGCCTTTAAATTTATTCAAACTTGTTAAGTTAAGGGATTCATTATGAGTTTACTATGCAAATGGAAGTAAGGCATTAATCCTAAACGCAGTAGGACGCATAAAGAATGTATAAAACTCTTTTTTATGTATAAATGCTATTTCCGGCGATTTCTGGCATAGAAGTTTGTAAACAGGTAGCGTTGGGAAATGCTTTGGAAGCAGACGCGGGAAGTCTCCTGAAAAAGTGTTTTTGTGTTACACGTTAATACAGTTTTATATCACTCGCCCTTCCTTCTAGGGGAGATGCCGTGAAGCGACTCCCTCGAGATGTTTCAATCTGGCCACCCCAGGGACGCCAAAAAAAGGTAGCTTCGTTTACGTTACACCTCACATAGTAAGGGGCGGGGGCTGCCACTGAAGTTCACTATGATTCTCTCCAACTCTTTGTGCAAAACTTGATCTTTTGGTTTGGCCGACGCAGATAGGTTGATCTTCACTGGCACCTTTTTTGCGAAGAAATCTTCACAGCTGTCGAGCACAAAGATCCTAGTTGTTTTTTAAAGTAGAAATGGGCACTCATGGCGCCTACGTTAAACAACACATCACGAGAACTAGCTAGTTGCGAGGACGAAACGGCTGCCTATGATACAAGACAGGGGTTGCAATCTTCGACATCGATAACATCTTTCTTGTCGAGGATCCTTTAGCGCAGGCTGTAATTGTATCCCTCAAACTCTAGCTCCTAACGTACATTGAATCCTAGCTCCTAACATGTACCCTAAACCCTAGCTCCTAATATGTGGCCTAAATCGAATTTAAAATTCTTAGTGTATATAAAATCGAATTTTTAAGTTTTAATCGGAATAATGCGAAAGAAACCATTGGTTAATTTTGACATGCTGCACCATTTGGTCCACTTGGCTGATATTTGAAATGTCACAAACTTTGCTTAAATTACTTGCCGAACAGAAAGTAGATCCAATGCGGTAGCTTCCCATCTTTTCTAGTTACTTGACAAAAACATTTATTCAAGTAACCCCAATTTTTATATTAAGCTGTAAATAAAAAACCCCTGAGAAGTATTATTTGTGATTAAATTTATGAATCATTTAAATGTTTGCCTTTATTAAAAAAAAAAAAAAAAGAACTGAAAAAGGTTAATAATATAGGCAGTTCTCAAATAACCAAGCATGTCTCCTAACAACTTCACGTTAACTGCCCTGATATTATAATAATACTCTCACCAGGTTTTAAACCCCAGGAATCGTCAATCCTAAATAAATGTTACTGCCATTGAATGTTCACCAATATTACCTACCTCACACAGAACCCTGCTCAACACAATCATATGGTTAAAAATTCACATGAATCACACAACTTGGCTGTTGACAGCCCATATAGTCGCACCAGTAGTAGGTGATGAAATTAACAATTAACAGAAAAAATTGGAATGTACAGACTGGGACACGTTTATAAACACTTGCCCGGACATTGACGAGCTCACAAATACCGTCAATTCTTATATTAAGTTCTGTGTAGACGAAATTAATCCCAAAAAGACAATCCGAGTATTCAACAACAACAAACCCTGAATGAGCAGAGAAATAAAGGAGGCCATAAACCACAAGAAGATCATGTTTAAGATTAACGATCAGGAATGCATTAAAGCTAAGAAAATATTGAAAGAAAAAATATATCAGGGTAAAAAACAATACAAACAAAAAATCGAAAAATGATTCACTACTAACAATTCAAAGGCTTGTTGGGCAGGACTAAAGCAAATTACAGGATATACTCCTAAGCAAGAATGCTTATGTGTTGAGGACGTGAGGAATTTCGTTAACGACTTAAATGACTTTTATTGTCGTTTTGAAAGTCTGGACTTTGGAAGAGTGCACAATGAGATGATGAATTCATTTCAAGATGGCAGTAGTACACAGGATGGTACTTTATTGTTCACCGAACAGAGAGTGATGTCATTATTTAACCAAGTGGACACAGCTAAAGCCTCGGGACCAGACAAATTAAGTGGTCGGCTCATTAAACTATGTTCAGAGCAGCTCTCCTACATTTTGTGTTACATATTTAATAAATCTAATGTAACTCACACAATATCTGCAATTTGGAAAAATTCAGAAATCATACCAATTCCAAAGAAAATTAATGTAACGTGCAACAACGACTTACGACCTGTTGCACTTACCTCTATTGTCATGAAATGTTTTGAGAAAATAATTCTGAAAGAAATTTTGAATGAAGTACAGTAAAAACTTGACCCCAACCAACTTGCTACAAACCTGCCAGAAATACGGAGGATGCCATCTTACTTTACCATCACATAGACATTCCTAAAATATATATGCCAGAGTGCTTTTCTTAGATTTATCATCAGCATTTAACCCTATGCAACCACACCTTATGATAAAGAAGCTTTCCTTGTTAGGTGTCAATTTAAATATTCAGGCTTGGATACTGAAATTTTTAAAAAATCGACTACAATATGTCAAAGTTAATAATCAAGTATCTCTAACCAGAGAAATAAGCACCGGGGCACCACAAGGCTGCGTTCTCTCTCCTGTACTGTATACCATATATACACATGATATTCAAAGCTCAAGCGACACTGTTCCAATCTTAAAATTTGCTGATGGTACCACCATTGTTGGCTTAATATATGAAGGAGAAGACCTATACAGCAACTTAGTTACAAGCTTTATCAATTGGTGCGATCAAAATGTTCTCCAGTTGAATGTCTCAAAAACAAAGGAAATGGTTGTTGATTTCAGGAGGGTGAAACACAAGGTTACAGATCTCAACATAAAAAATCAAAATGTGGAGAAAGTGAAGGCATACAAGTACTTAGGTGTCAAAATTAAAAATAATCTAACATGGCATGAGCACGGCCAAATCCTGTATAAGAAATTAAACCAAAGACTGTTCAACCTCAAAAATCTGTACAATTTCGGCGTAAACAAACAAGTCGTTAACTTATTCTACAGTGCAACAATTGGCAGCCTGCTTAATTTCAATATTACCTGCTGGTGTGGGAATTCAACGTCTCATAGTAAACACCGCATAAACCGACTAATCAAGAAAGCTAGAAACATAACACAAACTAAACAACCTTCACTTGAAGAACTATTTGAAGAAAGATGTTTTTGCAAAACTAAACACATTTTGGATGATACATCCCACCCTCTTCATCACAGATACTTAGGATCGGGCCGTTCCGGATGAATTCTTTCCATCAGGACGAGGACTGACAGATATAAAAAATCTTTTGTTCCCCAATCTATACGAATATACAGGCGTGCTTCCTCTAAAGTCACACATCTGAATGAGAACTAATAAGTCCCCGATTTTGCAAAGAGAACTCACTGAAATAATTTATTATAAATAATCAATATTGTGTTCAAATTGTTTTATTTTTTGTGCTGAAAAATGTATAATGCCATCAAAAAACATTTCCATTTATTTGGATCAATGAAAGAATCTTATCTTATCTTAAGTATGTTAGTTTAATGTATGTGTGGCATAGCGATTAGAAAAAAAATATTTATAACACTAGGAAATATGTTGTGTGTATGTTTCCAAAAGAAAAAGTTAAAATAAAAAACAAAAATTAAAAAGTAGTTATTGAAATTAATGTCTATGTGGAAGTACGAATATAGAACAAAAATCAGTTATAAAACATGCAAATATTGTGTGTTTAAGTTTCCATAAGAAAGAGTTGAAATCAAAGAAAAAAATGTTAAAAAGTATAGTCATTGAAGTTAAATGGATAAAGCATTTCAAGTTATACACTACGTATGGAAAGTTACGTAATTTAAAAAAGTATCGTTCATTTACAAACAATTTGCAATTGATTTTTCACAATAACTTCACTCAGTTGCGTCAGTCTCACTGGCTGATGCTTTAGCTTTATCCAAGTTAAGACAGGGCAGATTTTGTAAAATAGTAGCGTCCACTTCATTTTTTACTTTAATTTTGTTTTCAAATAATTTCCCATTGTTGAAATGCTCATAGACTTTAGATCGTACAATCACTTCAGCGCTGATGGCCTCCCTTTGTTTGACGAGCTCTTCATACATCTCTTTAGTTCTAGTTAGATTTTTTTTTTTAAGAAAGAAAGATTAAAATATTAATTTCAACCAATTGTTAAGAAGCATTTTTCCTCTTTTCTTTCTTTTTTTTCCTTATTACTAAATCGTTCATCTAAAACTTGATATTTTTAAGCACCAGTTGTTCAGTATTTAATATGAATATATTTTTTATATTTAAATACGTTTATAAATAAAATTGACTACACTTCCTGACGTTTAATCTTGTGGGTTGTGTTTAAAAGTAGTGGCCCGTGTAGCCAGTGTACTAATGATATCCATATGATTTTATTAGTCGGGAAAAAAAAACATTGACTGTTTAAAACATTAATATATCTTGACTTAGTCATGCATCAAAAAGCTCTATTAATTCTACTCACTGTTCAAGGGACGTAGACTTCTTGTTCATCATAATGAGATGAGACTCAGTCCGGTACTGCAGACCTTCCCATTTGGCTGCTGCAATGTTATGCATCATGGAACGTCGACTGAACAAAAAAAATAAGTTATTATAATTCTCATAACTCGATAATAGACTTTGATTTATTTATTATGATCTTTTGCAGTAATGTATATCAAAAATAATATTTAAAATATTAAGAATTGTATTTAATGTTAGAATAAAAAATTACAGAAAAAAATAGTGTTGCAATTTTTTAAAATTATTAAATAACATTTGAACGAACCCGGGTAGTTAATTGCAGGGAAAACTTAACATTAATTGATTAATTCAAATAGAATTCAACATTAAGAAAATACAGGGGAAAAAAGGATGTAACTTTATGTTTAAATTTCAATTTATCAATAGTCCATTTTGTCCATTGTAGCAGTTGGGAACGGTTTTATTAACAATGGCTAATCCTAATTTTGTAGGCTGGTCAAAAGCAGGCTGAAGAATTTTTTTTTTCTTGGAAAATAAAATCTCTTTGAATCAGTGATACGTTGAACTTATCTACAACCTGGATGGTTTGCTGAGATCGTCACACTATTATGAAACATGCACTTAATGAACATGAAACTTGATGAGATGGGTAGTGGACTCGGTGCTATCCTCCTGTGCTCGGGGCTCTAAATTATGTACGTGTGTTTGTGGCTGTAGGTTGTGAATGCCTAAACCGGTAGTTAGATATCGCCGATGACCATCGGTTTATGATTTTTTTGATTCTTTTAATATCATTTTGTCACAGCGAGTAGATTGAGTGCACTTTGATTCATAATTTAGTGCGCCGTCACAGATAGTAGTTTGGAGTGCACTTTGATCTATACATTAGTGTTCCATCACAGATAGTAGTTTGGAGTGCATTTTGATCTATACATTAGTGGGGAAACTCCGGCTGCTTGTCCTCCTTTAGTACGTCAAAATTCGTACGTCTCATATCCTTGTGATAATCCATTTTCTTGATTTCTTATCCACTTTAACCATGTGCTGTGACCCAGCACGAAATTTTCAAAAGAAAGTAGGAAGAGACTCGGTAAAATAATAAAACAAACTTTTCACTCCAGTTTCAATTTCAAAAGTGTGAACAAGATGTATAATACCAAGAAATATTCATTTAAATTTGTTAAAAAGCAATTTCATAATATTGATCAGCTGTTATTGGTGTTATTTGTGTGTTTTTTTTTAAAGTTTTTTTTTCTTTTTTGTTTTTGGGGGAGGGGGTGTCAAAGTATTTTAGAATCTTCTAAAGTTACTCTCGTAAACATTTACAAAGTGGTTTCGGTTGCAAAATATGAACAGAGCTGAAATACACTTATTAGTCTCCTCAAGGGATTTCAGAACGACAATGGCATGAGCATTGCAAGATAACCTTTTCCTAAAGCCGACTGCCCATGTTTGAATATTTTTAAAACAGATGTTACAATTCGTTGTAATATCATAATGTGACACATGACTTTGCTGTCGAGTTAACGTTTGGTGAGCAAAATAGTTGCTTTCGCGTACAGAAGAGGATAATTGTTTAACACTTTGTGAGCTTCATCAAACTTTATTTTAAAAACCTCTTAATTTATTCTCCATCTTGCGTTCAAGTTCGGTTGATAAAATCACCAAGTCAAAGGGCATATGGTGATGTGGAATGTCTTCCACAGTGGTTTGTTAACAGCTGCAGAAGGTGTCTTTTCTACATCATGTACCTCATCAAGCAACTAATTTTGCGTAAGAGTTCCTTGGGTACCTGCTACATGCACATTTACCCTCAGCTTATCAGTCTTATGCAGCCTCCAAAAACTGTAGCATCACAATATGGTGTATGATTAAGGAAACAAGAAATCATCTTTAGTGTCTGGCATATCCAGGCATATCCTTGCAGCTTTATTGTCAATCTTCCATTAGCAGTCTATGCTAGTTCACTCCTGAAGCTAACTGTGTTGACATTTTCATTGGCACTCATTGTTCTGTAACAGAAGTCATTAATGGAACCTGTGGGGCTAGCGTCATGCCCACCCATTTTTTTTTCAGGGCTTCGGACAGACATCTGTGTATAACAGATAGAGAGATAAAAGTAGAGAGAGAAAAATCATCCTAGCATAGGAGCATTGAAAGAGTAGTAGGAGAATGAGTAGGACGTAAAAAGGACATGCAGAGTGATTTTTTCCCCTCGAACATGTCCGTTATAAAGGGACGATAGTGTAACTTGGCAGGACGAAGTCGTGAAGACTGGGTATTTCTCTTCAGGAGCATAAGGTGGTTCCATAGACAGCGGATTGACTCCACATAAGGTGGTTCCATAGACAGCGGACTGACTCCACATAAGGTGGTTCCATAGACAGCGGACTGACTCCACATAAGGTGGTTCCATAGACAGCGGGATGACTCCACATAAGGTGGTTCCATAGACAGCGGACTGACTCCACGCGGGTGAATAAACCCAAGGGAACATATCTGTGGGTGCTACAAGCTGGGCAGTGGTAGCGTCGCAAGATTTGCCGGAATTTTTATTGTGTCAATGGCATACAGCCTACTGGTTTGAACTCAGAGTTACCCATCTCTTAGATGAGATGCCACTCGCGGTTAACCGAGTGCAATCAATCAGGCGTATTGGTGGTGTTTTCGCTGGTCTAGGCTTTTCCTGGAAGTTTGGGGTTGACTCAGTTTACACCTTTCGGCCAGCCAGTAGAGTGATTGGATAGGTCAATATTAAGAGATGGAGATTAGGCTTTACATGCGTGCTGGAAATGTTCGATGTCATGTGAAATGAACTGGAATTATATAAAAATGCCTTTTATTGCCTCTGCCATACCTTATCAAATAGATGCTTTAGCGAACACGTGGTGTTAATGCAATATATACCAAATACAAATTTATCAGTGAGGAATTTATAAAGATCAGATATAGTTTACAAAAGACACGATAACTGCAACAATAACAAAAATGTCTGTATCTAACACAACTTTGGATGACTGTTCTATAATTTTTAAAAACGCAATATAGAGAGAGTAATCTAAATTTGGGAAATGAAAAATTTAGACTTACTATATAATCGGTGCATAGTCTTTTACTGGTGTGCTGTAAAGATTATAAAACTCAGCACCAAATAATAGGAATCCGGGAATGGCATAGGGCCCACCTTTGTAAAGTGACTTAAGCCTAGATGCTTTGAAATAACCATCTGAAGAAAAAAAATAGTTCACAAGCGTTCACTCACAGTTATTTAAACAAATAATTTCAACGCTGGTAAATGTTTAGGTTTGACTTTTATGTTTTTCTTCTAAATTGTGTGAGATAACCTTGTTTCTTTCGCTTTTAAAACCCACAGGGACTGGTGTAGTTTTTGAATGGCATTTGAAAAAAAAATACTAATGTGTAAAATGGTATCTGTTTTTTTAGGCAATATTCTGAGAAGAACAATTAAATTATCGAAAACTATGTGGATTGAAATACCCGAGCACAAAGTATCAGACCTCTTAACTTCTTATGCACAATACATTGTGTTTTAAACAGACGTTACTCTTGTTCCCCAATTCTTTTAAATACAGTCAAGAGCCTGGTGCTAAGTACCACTTCCTCAGTTTTTTATCAGGTATATTCAGGATCGGCTATAAGAAAGCGGTAAATATTCACTATATTTTCCAAAACCGTCGATGTAAGCAGGTAACCGACGTTGAATCACAATTAAGATTACACAGAAGGGTACAGTTTTAAAGAAAAGATAAGATAACATTATTTTATTGATACAAACAAATTGAAATGTTTTATGATTGCATTGTACATTTTCAGTACATATAAGAAAACAATTTGAAACAAGACATTTGTAATACATTTTTTCACTAACAGCCATTCCGTGAGTTCTCTAAGCCATATCAGGAACTTATTAGTTCTCCTTAAGATTTGTGACTTCAGGGGGAGCACGCTGCTAATTTCGCACACATTGTGGATTTAATTGCTTATCCTGTATTTTTGAGACGTTTATATAGATCTATATAAACTAAAGATATTTACGTTTTTAAATTCTCAGTATAGTTATGATCACTTAAAATGCATATTATCTCTTTTGTATTATGAATGATTTTGAAATCTTTAAGGGTAGAAAATCCATTTTCGAAGCGGTGGCGGTAAAATGAAGTTTGAAAAAAAAAAATAGTCCCATACCCTTGGATGTCATAAAATCATTTTTATTAATTACACGCAGTTTTTATAAATTTTGAATTTCAATACATTTTTTTTTTAGAAGATGAATGTGAAGATGAACGTCGGCGAAATGCTAAATGGAAGTCGGAGAAATGGTGTCTTAGAAATGGTAGTCCTAGAAATGGTAGTCGGGGAAATAGTGGTCTGAGATATGGTGGTCTGATAAATGGTAGTGTGAGCAAATGGTGGTCTGAGAAATGGTAGTCTGAGAAAATGTGGTCTGAGAAATGGTGGTTTTAGAAATGGTAGTCGGAGAAATGGTGGTTGGAGAAATTGTGGTCTGAGAAAGTGTGGTCTGAGAAATGGTAGTCGGAGAACTGGTAGTCGTAAAATGTCAGTCGGGGAAATGGCAGTCGAAGAAATGGTAGTCAGAGAAATGGTAGGCTGAGAAATGGTAGTCAGAAAAATGATGATCTGAGAAATCGTGGTCTCAGAAATCGTGGTTTGAGAAATGGCATTCGGACAAATGGTAGTCAGAGAAATTGTGGTATGAGAAATGATAGTCCGGAAAATGGTGTTCGAAGATAAAGTATTCAGATAAATGGTACTCTGAGAAATGGTAGTCAGAGAAATAGTGGTCTGATAAATGGTAGTCTGAGAAGTGGTGGTTTGAGAAATGGTAGTCGGCGAAAATGTGGTCTTAAAAATGGTTGTCTGAGACATTGCAGACCGAGAAATTACCCAGTAACGTAAGTTTTCTTTGGTTTTTTTTAAATATCATTACAACAACAAAAAGAAGAAAAAAATCTCTTACATGGAATAGATCCATATGTAAATAGTTCAACGACTTCCATTATCCCGTCATACCTGGAGGCCTGCTCATATTCCATTTTAGAGGCTCGATAGCATCTGGCTCTTAAAGTTTCAAAAGCATCCCTGTAAAGGTCTTTCACCTTGTGAAACATTTATAATACACATTTCGGTACATACATTTTCTCCCATGATCATTTGTTAAAATATGCTCTAGATTAAAAGTGTCTCATTCAGTAAATAATTATCTTAAAAGAGTATATAATGCATAGAGGTATCATGACTAATGTACACAAAAAATATATAACATTTTTTGTTTGAAACTTCTTAGACAAAGTAATTTTTCTTATTGTTGTTTTAACATGCCTTTTTATGCACATGAAACATTTTGAGCAAATGAAATAAATGACATATTTCGGGGTAAAATGTACTACTTAATGTGAATACATAATTGCATGAATAGTTTTCTAAGTTTTGACATACGTCTTACCTCCTTATCTGAAGGCTCTGCCATTTTAAAACGTGAGGGTTGTTGCTTTCACTGTCAAAAATATACAAACAAGTTGTAACATAATCAAGCTTTTATAAGTTACCTATATTTCTATGTAAAATCTTAATGTTCGTATTGTCTATTTCAAGCTTTGTAAAAAAAAAATAATAATACTTTCAATTATTTTCTGAAATATCGTATTGATGAGTTGCTCTCGTCAAATTGATTTACACGCCACAAAGGCGACGTCATCTCATTGAAACCCAACTAAATAATAACTCAATTTCTTTCGACCTATAAATCGGTCATTATCATCGTGCAGAACTAATATCTGTTTATTAATTAAGAACTTCTGGATAGTCTCAAAATCCTGTTGCGCATTCTTCCCTACAACGGATATTGCTAGATCTGACCCTTCACTATAAGGCCAGTCACCAGTACTGTCACTGTTGAATAAGTTTAGAATACATTTGTTGTAATGGGAGATCAGACCAACTTATCCTTTAACTATTTTTTTCTTCTTATTTATGGGTTGATACGTTTTTAGCACTTGATTTAAGTGGTTATAATCAGATGTCAATAAACCTGCACCTACTTTGGGCACCAAAAACTCATGGTTTAAAATTGTATTAATTGTCTGTTTTAAACTTTCTACCATATGTAGTGGTATGGCGTGCGGCTTTAGTGTTATTGTTTTGGTATGATCTAATGATTCCATTTTATGAATTCCCGCAGATGTCTTTTTAGGGAATATCCGAAATGACGTCCTTAAACTTAAGTAATGATATCATTTTCTTCAGCTTTTTGCGTATCACTTAGTTCTGTATCAAGATCAATCACTGTGTCATCATTATTGTTAATAATCTTATGATTATATATTAAAGATTAATTTTGATATAGTTTCAACTGTGTCTAATTTTTCGAAATCCCGATCTTGTTCTTCACACTTTCATAACATATATTCCCCTAGATTCTCTACCGTATGGGATAGTAAGACTCATAATATTCTGATAGCTGATATTTTTTTGGTTTACCTCTAGTTTCTGTTATCTTCTACTTTACTTATAGTCAAGAAAAATTAGTAGTAAGGTTACAGTAAAACTATAATTCATTTTACTTTGAAGGGTTAGATTAATAACGATTACCTGCGGTCCCTATAAACCTAATCTTGCAAAAAGTTAAAATTTACAAAAGCAAAATATCAAATATAAACAAAACATTCACCAAAAAAAAACAATAATGATAAAACGCATTTACTTGCCTGGCTTGTGGAATTTTCACTGCTTGAACTTAAATAGTGCTTAGTGTGACACATCATATTCAAAAAATTGTCTCATTAGGAAGGACACTGGCAACGGTGCCTAGTTACTGGATCCCGTCCAAATTTAGGGGAATGCTTTATGAACACGGGATATTTGGCTAATCACGTAATAAAATCATAGTTTATTATTGGGTCACTGGGCGAATTTGATAGGACAAGGTAGCATGGCTTGTTCAAGTCAATGTTTTCAGCAGACCAAAAAAAAAAACCTTGCAGTTGGGCATAGGGGTAGATGTAACGCCTCAACAACACGCGAGGTGTCATTGGTGATTGTATATGTTGGGCAATGGAGAAGAATGTTAATGCATTAGCGATCTCCGATGTGATCCAAAAATCTAAAACCTTTATTTTGAATAGTCCCGAATCAAACTTCTTCTATTATCGAGCCATGAAAAGTCAAGACGAAGAAAACTGCATCATAAAATAATATTTTTGATAATTCCCTCTAACAGAAGCATGGGCATGCAGACATTTTACTGTTTTTAAAGTTTCAATATCCCATTTTAAATACCTCAAAATCATAGTTTCACTTGCGGTTTAACGGTTCAACTAATTTACAATTCTTTTTTCTTGGGGGGGGTATAGACGCTGTTCACATGGCCGGCAGCGAAAAGACCCACCGGCGAAACAGTGGTGACGACATGGTGGCGGTGATGGGACGTGGTCGAATCGTCCCATCCTCTTTGATGCTACGAGTATTTAAGGCTACATTGTCACTGCATTTAATTCTAAATTTTTTGAAAGCTTGTCATTAACCTCATAAATGTTAAATAACATCATACGCAAAAAAACAAAAAAACAAAAAACAAAAAAATGAAGCAGCATGTAGTTTTAAATTTATTCGATTCTATGAATGTTGTGTTTAAGAAAAATGAAATTGTAAAGAAGTCGACACCCTGGTGAATGGAAAGTTGCCCAAAAGGGGCAAGATTTATTGGACGGGCGCGGCTGGGGCTTAAGGACATTCGTGAAAGGGGCCTGAGGTGAGCCAGCAGAAAAATCAACGCATGGGAGGTCATCGCCAAGAATAGCAAGGAACCGCAAATGTGTTCAAACTTGCTGAACGTTATTCAAAATTGTTCAAAAATAGTTTAAAGTGAAGCAAAAAGTGGATTTTACAAATGAAACGCATTTCATCAGTCTGAGAAATCCAACTTTATTTTCACTTTTATTTCTTTGATTAGTTTGACCATCAGTTCCTTATTTATGGTCCCAAAAAAAAAAATGCTACTCAGAGGATTGGTCGACAATCAACCATAGACACAAAAAGCAGAGATCGAAGGCGAAATTATTCAGGATTGAGTTAGTCTACATTTATTTCTGTTATTATTATTTATTTGATTTTTTTTTTATTGGTAGAAAGAATTATGCCATTTTTATTTCCAACTTTAATACGTCTTTTTATAGTTTCAAATTATATATCTAAAAATTGAAATAAACAATTGTAACACTTGAATTTTTAGGAAAAAACTAAAATAAAAAATATGTAAAGAAAAAAACATAGTCAGGTTTCCACTTGACGTTCGCACCCCTCTTTTAGGGCCCTTTAGATTTCTGTCCCTTCGCTATGACCAACACGATAGTATCTGCATCTTTTCACAATTTAAAAAAAAAAAAAAAGAAATAAAATGAGTTTATCAAGGTGGCCACGGGGATTGGTGGGTGTTACGAACCCGGTTCTACCCTAAGGTACTATGGCTTCGTTCTCTATTAACAAAACCATTGATTTTAATGTTAAAAATAAAGTATCTTTATTGACTCAACCGCATCTGCCATTACTCTAAGCAAAACACTACACAAAACTCTACTCACATCCCCTTTCGCGTAATACGTCACAAAAATATCAAACATTTATTAACAACATCTACCCAAATACTCTCTACACAACACGCAATCACACAATACGTTCAAGTCCTTAACAGCGGGCTTTCGAGTAAGAGTTTTTTGTGCTGATCGCCATAATGCCTATTTTCTTTTTTTTTGATGACAACTGTCCAGAATCTTTTTTTTAAAGATAATTTTTTTTTAATACACAAGCAGCGACGCCTCAATTATACCCTGTTAAAAATTTTAAAAAATATGACGTGGTATACTCAATGGCAAAATATGTGACCTACATCAGCAGATCAAAATTTGATTGTTCCTGAGTTATAACAAAAGCGCCATTTCATGCTGATATAATATCATATTTCAAGTAATCTCTAAAAATACATCAGGTTTTATGTCAACCAAAAGACTTGAAGACAAATTTAATTTTAGAACTGAATCGATTTGAAATCGATTCCCAGAAAATTATGTCAAAGCTTTAGTGGTAATGAACATTGATTGGAAATAAAATGAATGTCTTTTCAACAGGCTGCGCCTTACTCGTGCACGTTAATTAAATCTGCAGTTCAATAACTGCGTACATTTTTTCTGACACAGAGACGGTCCAAATGTATTCGTTATGCTGACGAAATAGACAACTTGCCAAAGCTTCAATTACAACACACCTTTAAGATCACGTCATCAAATAGGGTTCAACGTATTTTGTGTTTAAAAAGAATTCTGCTAAAATAAAGAATATTAAAGGCATGGAAGCATGAGTTCATGGGAATTTTAAATGATAGTTTGTTTGTTTTTTGTTTTTTTTAAATTTTAATAACTACAAAATATGTTCATGAAATAATCGCAACAATTTTTTTATTTTTTTTTTATGTAAAAAAATAAATAAAATGTAAAATTAAATAATATCATTCTAAACTTAAAGAAAAAAAATCTCAATCAATGGAACAAGATTAAGTTTTTTTTTTTTTTTTTTTTTTTTTTTTTTTTTTTCAGTTGTAAAAGAAATTTTTTTTTTATTTTTTTTTTATGTAAAAAAATAAATAAAATGTAAAATTAAATAATATCATTCTAAACTTAAAGAAAAAAAATCTTAATCAATGGAAAAAGGTTAAGTTTTTTTTTTTTTTTTTTTTTTTTTTTGTCTTATCTTTTCAGTAGTCAAAGAAATGTTCACAATTTACTGCTGAAATAACTAAATTGAGTATTTTACAAACAAACCAAGTATCATTGAGCTTGGGGGAGTCAGCCTTGTGATTTTATCTCATTGAAATATGAACCTCACAATGCAGTATAAATGTATAACTGATAAATACATTATTAAAACGGTCTGAATTTTAAATTAATACACCCGGCTCCAGCACCAATGGTTTAATGTTCTACGTTGTTAGGGTGATCGTTTTTTTAGACCATATTCTTTTAGTGCCCTAGAATATTTTGCACTATTTCTGTCTTAGGCTTCCGAAGTAATTTGTTGAATTCTTAGCTCAGTATTTTAATACAATGTAGGCTTAGAGAAATAAATAGCCTCCTTCTTACGTGTCCCCCCCCTTATATAATTTGGTGTTTATCTCCCTGGTTTTTAAAGGGTTATTTTTAATCCCCCTGTTTTCACCATTGTTTTTTTATTCCCTTGTACAAAAAGTGGTTGGCTGAATGGTTGCCAGCGTCAAATCATCAATTTCAATGGTTCCAAAGAATCCCAAACAAACCAGTGAAGGAAATGACAGCTTAAACTCCAGTGGAGCTAAAACAAAATCCCGGAAAAGGTTGGCGATTGGGCAGGTCGTATGATTAGAAGACCAGTGTCAAGTATAACAAAACAAGCATAGGCAAGGAACACTTTGGGCTCTAGGGGGGACAAGTGAGATCAATAAAATCGGGGTGAAGAGAGGTAAACAATGAT